TTCATATCTTTTCTTATTGGCAACAGATGGCCTTTCATGCCTGTTAAAATCAGAAGATCAGTCATCCCGGCTTAGCGGAATCAAGGTGTCCCCATCGGCTCCGCCGGTGAACCACCTCCTATTCACGGATGATAGCATGTTGCTTTTCAGGGCAAGAGTAAATGGAGTAGAACAAGTGTCACACTTTTTGAAAACGTACTGTATGGCTTATGGACAGATAATAAACACAAATAAATCATCGATATTCTTCAGTAAGGGTTGCCCACAAATAGTGAGAGATGCACTGAAGGACCATCTTCAAGTCCCTACTGAATCCTTGAGCGACAAATATTTGGAAATGCCAACGGATGTAGGGCAATCGAAGAAAGGAACATTCAAATACTTGAGTGATCATGTCTAAGACAAGGTGAAAGGATGGATGGGTAAGCTATTTTCAGCAGGTGGCAAAGATATGCGTATAAAATCTGTTTACTCAATGTCATGTTTCAAACTTCCTAAAGGTTTATGTAAGCATATAAATTCTATTATTCTAGAGGTTTATGTAAAATTCCTAGAGGTTTATGTTTCAAACTTCTTAGAAAACAACCTGAATTTCACTTTGCCAACTCCGCTAGTGCAGTCACGGTCTAATCGAAAACCACCTAAAATTCTGTCCAAAACAACCTGAATTTCACTTTGCCAACTCCGCTAGTGCAGTCACGGTCTAATTGATCCGGTTTCAGAGCTGAGGGGTTTTTCGATCCATGAGAGGGGGGGGGGGAGATTTTCGGGAAAACTATACTCTCTTTTTTTTGAGGCAAGGGAAAAGTATACTTTTTTTTTAGCAAAGGGAAACCTATACTTTCGTCGCAAAGAAATACGATGTGCTGCACAAGGAGCGGCCCAGCTAATTCTGTTCGGCCCACCTAAGGCAGGGGTATACGGGGTCCAGCCGCGGAGGCTCGCAGTCGCACCGTCGCACGCTGGGCGTTGGTAACCCTGACTAAAGAAATTCCCCTTCTCTCGCTTCCGCCGTCCCGTGATGGCAGCACCGGCGCCCGGCGCCGGCGCCGTCGAGGTTTCCATGGTACCCTCTCTCTCGCTCTCGCTCTCTCGGAACTCGTGGATCGTCAATTGCTCATCGGACTGCGCGATTGCTGATCTAATTGGCGTGGTCGAAATCAACTAGGGTTTCACTTCACGGATTGGCGTTCGTGTCATGCAGGACGACAAGGCCAAGGCGTTGGTGGCCGCGAAGATCAAGGAAGGGGAGGACAAGGTGCGGATGATAGGACAGTACGCGGTGCGGACGGACCGCGCGATCGACGCGCTGGAGAAAAAGGTGCAGGACCTCGAGGCGGTGATGGATCTTGAGCTGATGCTCGGCCAGTACTGCGCCGACCTCTCGGACATGCACAAGGCGCGCCACTACTACCGTGCCGTCTCGCTCTCGGAGAAAGAGGAGCTGTCCCTCCGCCAAATTGACGACTTCGCCGCCGCCACCATCGCCGAGTATGAGGCCAGCGTCGGCCCCGTCCCGGCCTTCGACAACCACCTCAGCCTGTTCAGCAAAGACATCCCACTGGAGTTCCCCGAACCCTTAGCTCCCCCTCCCGCTTCTTCGGCTCCGGCTTCGGCTTCTCACCACGAGTGAGTTCTCGCTCCTTGCACCTGCATTCATGGTCACTATGCCTTCTGCCAGTTCCTTGCGATTGCAAACTAATTAGTCTACTACCATTTCAGAAATTCAGAGTAGTATGCCTAGAACAGGCCTGTATGTTTGCCCGGTTTCAACTCAAAAGATGAAGTAATGATGTAGGCAATGCATAGTTGGAGATTTTATCTCCTTGGAACTCTTCTATGTCCGATTGTAGTAATCAATTAACGGTTCAGATTTTGTATAGTACCAAGATAGATTAATCACAGGCCAGTAGAAATGTGCTAGTACAGTAGTACCTTGATTTATTCCACAGCCAGTAGAGCTGTAGAGGTGTGGTTGTAGCTCTATTACCATGGCTAGTAGTAAACTGGTCGTCATCAGGGGAATAAAAGTAGCAGCTAGGTAAATTATTAGGGTCGAACCAATCTATAATTCGTTCCTGGCTGCCCTCAAGATCTGCAAAGGGTCTTCACCAATACACCCCCTCTCCGGTTTTGTCTTAGCAGCGAGACGATGTGACTGTCTAGATTGAGTAAGTTAGTACTTGTTTCTTGATCTGGTTGAGTTAATATCAGGTTCACCATCGATTTGTTTCCTAAATGGCCTTTCATCCCAAACCAAAGTGCCAAACTGTAGATTAAAGTGTTGGGTGTGGCGTGGCTTGGTCTGTGGACAATGCCTTTAGATTTGTCCGTCCTAGCTCCAATTATGTCTTTTTCTATCTGCCTCGGAGCCTGGCATTCACTATTTCACTGCACACTTGATTGTTCAAACTAGAAATGAATTACTTTAGGGTTATAGATATCTTCACGTGTTCCGTTTGGTTTGAGACACCAAGAACTTGAGAGCTTTGTGAAAACAGTAAGATCAATCACAACCGGTGAGTAGGATAACAGGATGCAGTTACTGATTTAGCAGCCCTACTAAATAGATGTAGGTGGTATTCCATAGTATAAAACCAGTAACTTGTGCTGAGAAAACAAATATGCCTTTGTGAACAGACATTTGATTGCTTTTGTTCTATTATATATTAGCTACATAATGTTTGTGCATATATATAGGTGGGAGCCCAGCTCTGGCTTCTGGTTCGATCCCCCGTGCCACTTTCAACTCAAAAGTTAAAGTAGGGATGTAGGCAGAATGGGAGATTCTATCTCCTTGGGACTCTTCTATGTGTCTGATTGTAGTAGTCACTTAACAGTTGAGATTTGGTATAGTACCTAGATAGTGGTTGTAGCTCTATTAGCTTGGCTAGTAGTAAATTGTTCAGGGGCACAAAAGTAGTCGCTCGGTATATTATTCAGGGTCAAACCAGTTAATCTATAATTTGTTCCTTGCTGCCCTCAAGATCTGCAAAGGATCTTCACCAATTATTATTCTCTTTCGCCAAACGTTTACCATTGCTTTGCTACACACTGTTTAGAGCCCCTCCAGTTTTGTCTTCGCAGCGAAACAATGTGACTGTCTAGATGAAGTAGAATTTTGATCTGCTTCAGTTAACGTCAGGTTCACCATCGATTCGTTTCGTGAATGGTCTTTCATCCCAAACAAATGTACCAAACTCTATATTAAAGTGTTAGTTGTGGCGCGGCTTGAGCTTGTGGACAATGCCTTCAGACTTCTTCATCCTAGCTGCAGTTATGTCTTGTTCTATCTACCTCTCAGAGCCTGGCATTCACTATTTGACTACGCACTTGATTTTTCATAGTAGAAATGAATTGCTTTGGGGTTATAGATATCTTCACGTGTTCCATTTGGTTGGGGACTCGAAGAAGTGGAGAACATCGCGAAAATGGTGAGATCAATCACAAACAGTGAGTAGGATAACATGATAAGTACACTTGGAAAAGAGAGGCAATTGCTGATTTAGCAACCCTACTAAATAGATGTAGGTGGTATACCATAGTATAACGCCAGTATACCATAGTTATTTTTATATATTAGCTACATAATGTTTGTGCATATATATATATAGGTGGGAGCCCAGATGTGGCTTCTGGTTCGACCCCCCCGTGGAAGCGAGTTTAGCTACTTCAGTTAAAATTCGTGGGCTTCGGCTCGGGGTCTCCTGTAGCTCCTTGATATAATTTCGCGGGGTTCCTGCCTTATTGGACTAAATTTTTAAAAATGTTTGTGCACATATTCAGTTGTGTTGTTGACTATCATGTAGGCCTGCTGTGGAGAATGGAGGGGATGTTGCATGCTAAGAGATGATCACCTGGAGCACCCCATCCCTTTCATTTCTTCGCCCCCGTCGTTCCAAGTCGGCTATCATGGTTCTAGGGGCTTTGAGCCTATTTTAAGCACGTCTGCAGTTTTGACTGATGGTGATTAATTTAAACTTGGAGCTGTGAGATTGTCAGTACGAGTGTAGCTATGAACATCTCGGATGTATGCGAACATGTGGGTTCTGAGGTTTGATTCATGCTTGCATTGCTCTGTGCCTGGTGAATTATGAATGCAATCATCACATCGTTTCTATTACTGGTGCATCTGTTGGTGGATCATGGCTGTTGGCGTGTTGAGAATTGGTCGAATGTCAGTTCGTATGGATGATTAATTTAAGCTGTCCATGGTTTCACCAATTTCAAGTCTTCCAGCAATGCAGTTTCGCTTTTTGACTCTTTTCTTTTGAAAAAGAAAGAAAGAAAAGAAAAAAAAGCATTCAATATGTGTGGGGATTGAGAAGTGATCATTAAGGCAGAACTATTCAACTTCAAGAGGCAGATAAAGGGCCTAACACTTTCAGTGAGCTCGTTCCACATAATTAGCTGGAACTTCAAATCCGTGGGCGCCGGCAAAACAGGCTACTGACAGACTAAGGTAAATATTTAGGATATTAACAATAAATTGGCAAAAATACAAGCCCTCACAACCAACCAAAGCTGAGAGATGCTAGCAATCTTCCAGTCATCTGATCCCACGTTCCCTCCCTGATCTGATGTGAAGCAACACATTTCCTTTTGTCCAGTTTCTGTTTGTCAAGTACTCTATGTTTTAAGAACGAATGTAGTACTCCATTTGTTATAGTAACTAGTTAAGCTTCACAGGGATGAACTGTAACTAATTACTACTACCCCAGGTACATCAAGGTGTGAGAGATGTGAAGAGTAACTAGTTTTGGCTTAACTGGGTCGACAATGAAAAGATGAGGCATAAACACGGCACCAAAAAGGGCACAAACAGGCTCAGCTAGTAGTAGCAGCAGTAAGGGCAAGGCAACAACATAAGCCACCAGCACATCCAAGCAGGAGACAGCACTTGCTGTACTTTGGTTCTAAATGGATATACAAGTTTCTCTCCAATGCAGGTAAATGTTTGGCAACTGGGAAACTACACCACCTTAGGGGGCCACAGCAGCTCACTTCTTGCCACGGCCCTTGGACTTCTTGGATTTCTTCTTGCTCTTCTGCTTCTGCACCGCCTTTCTGGAGGTCGAGGCCGCAGCTTCTCCCGTGTCAGGTTCGTCGTCATCTGAGCATCCGTCGGCGTCGGCGTGAGGCTGGACAGCAGCACCGCTGCTCCAGTCATTCATGCTTTTTTTCGTCGCTTCGCTTTCAATCCTCCTTAGGCTTGCTTCAGTCAGCACTCTGAGGATCAGCTGCAGTTTGTTCTCACCTTTGCGCAGCTTCTCCACAGCAAGAAAAGCTCTTCCCCTCACCCTGTGATAACCAAAACAAATTCGCGCCAAGTGGTAAATTTTCAGAAGACATGGGGATAACCTAGTCATGTCTCTTACACTAGTCTTGAGGGTGCAGAGCATGCAGAAAGATGCCACTCTGCATGCCTATCAATTGCAATGTGGCATTTGTAGTACTGCATTTAAGAATTTTATACTTGGCGCTGAATTAACATTCGCTTACCTGTCAGAACCATTTTCAAACTCACTGCAGATGCGCCTGACATCATCCAGCAATCGTTTATCAATCCCTGCTGGAGTGTTACTTTCCAGCCATGGAAGGGCACTTACAAGGAGTTCAATAATATCCCTCGGATTTTTCTGCACAAATTAGTTTTTTTTAGAATAACATGGCAGCTGGGAACAGTGGGACAAACTGGATGATAACAAAACAAGCATTATAACATTTGAAACTCACCAGGCCTTCGGCTCGAAGAGTCTCAAGCTTCTCAAAGAGTATCTCATCAGCTAAATCCATCCCACTACTACGCTCCATCTCACTATCTTGTGCAGCCTTAGGAATGTTTCCAGCAATAACATTGCCAGACTTATTACCATCAGATTTTTCAGGCAACGGGGTCTCTTGCTTTACAGAACTTGCTTCTTCAGGACACAGAAGAGCCATTATCTTCGGAACATCATACAAATCCTCCTTGCTAATCATATAAGCATTTAGGTTTCGACAGTCTACCGGGCTCTTGGGTGTACCAATAACTACCATATTATCTCCAATTGCGGCGAGTGCATCAGCAAGCACTCTTGTGAAGTTGCTCGGTGTGCGAGACTTAATTTGCAAAGCATGTACAATCTTCTGAGAGAACTCCACAGGTAAATCCTTGAACACTTCATTCCTCAGGAGGTTATGTGTGACCTCATAGCAATTCCCCAGAGAAAGAGTAAGGATCAGTGGATAAAGTGTAACAACTAGTCTAAGGAGGACCAGTTTGTATGAAGTACTAGAAGGACATGAAGTCTTATGTACCCATTCCTGGAGCATATGCTTGCTCGTCAAGATAGCCATAATTGTCTGATATATGAAACGGCCTGATGTGTATGCCAAACGATCAAGATCAGAATCTGGGCTCGAGTTAGATACCAGGCAGGTGTCAATGTAAACCTTGCTGGTACGGCACTCCAACATATTGACCAACAGAGATTTCGTGCAGCATATAAAATCATTCTGTATTAAGCATGATGAAGCCATAAAACCAAGGCACTCCATAAGACCCACATAGCATATTGGGGATATGTAGTCTAGTTCATCCTTCCACTTCACATTGAAGGTAAACTCAAGAGAACGCTTAAAGTTCAAGATCAAGGAGGATCTATCACCACCACTGTCAAGAAATCTTTTGAAATATTGGAAAAATTCTGCCCAATCAGAACTATTGTTCAGGTACTGCAGTAGTCTTGAAAGTAGCACTTCATCCAATTGTGCTGCATGAAGCAGGAGCATTGTTGTTCTCCCAAGATGCCCGTGAGTCAGATTTTTATTTGCTGGGCGAAGATTTGAATTAAGAGAATCAGCAATCAATCCATATGCAGCTGGTGAGTCAAGTAGACGCAAGAGGCTCCTTGTTGTCCCATCTCTCCACACAAGAAAAACTAACTCAAAGAAGCGACGCTCGCAGAGAACAAAAAAGCTTCTTAACTTCATGGAACTTTTTGGCATACTGAACTGTGGTTCTTCCAGAAACTTTGCTATCTCATTTATGATAAGGATAGTTCTCACCAGGGTATAAGAAGATGATGACTTTGGAGAAATTTGAACAATGGACTCCAACTTCTTAAGTACACTGAAACCAACAGAAGACAGCTCATTCATCCAGAAACACTGAGCACATGAATAACACTGAGGGGCACCCAAGAAACATCTGTTGCCATCTTGCTGCAAAGAATTTCTGCCAGCAGTAGAAAGCCAACTTGCATTCACGTTAAGCACCACATATCTGTCAGCTTCACCATCTTTTCTCAATCCAAAGTACTTGGCACAAAGATCTTCATACATAACTGCATAATCATTTAATTCTGGACCATCGGCGTGGCAAAGTTGAGATAGTACTTTGATTATGATTGGCTTCCAGTTATTCCAAACATAAAACAGAGTTTGGGGTGACATCTGGTTAGAGGCCAGCATATCATTACAACTATTTTCATCCTCAGATCCTGGCCCTAATTCTATATTGTATCCAGAGGCTCGAGACTGGAGATGAACATCAAGAATCGAACGGGAAGCAACGAGTTCAACTAACAAGTTTGCACATTTTCTGCCCTCAACCAAAGTGCAATTTAAACTGGGAAGAGACTTATTCACATCTGACAGTGCATCCGCTTCCACGCAAACAAAGCAGTAGAAGCACTCAGATACCTTTTCTGCCATCTCTTTTGCTTTTGAAAGCAACTGTTCCTTCTCTGCATATCTTTTGGGAGGCCACCCTCTACTATTTGAAGACCACAAGGAATCCACAATGATATGGAGGAGGAGAAGCCGTGTCGCATCCTCAAACAAGCCTGCCTTCTCGAGCATGTCTACCTCCAGTAAGACATCTCCATTATGCTTTGCTATTCCTGCAGCTTCTAGGAAATTACCCATCTCCATCTCTAAACTCAACAGTTCATCAACAAGATTCCGAGAATTTAGGAATGCCCGTACATGATCCATAGAGCTGAAAGCTTTAACAAAAGGCATCATATGCTTTATGTCACCACGCTCAAAATAATGTTGAGCACAATTATCCAGATACTTTGTTCTAATTGCAGAAACCTCCAAGGATTTTGAATTCTCAAGCGAATGTTCCTCCTCTAACTGCTGCAGAAACTGTAGGCCCAGATTGAATAATTTTTTTCCTTTCGAGCACATGGAGAAACACTTTGTGTAACATTTAGCTTTCAAGAACACTTCAGCTGCCTCCGACCAGCATTCAGCCATAGCAAAACAATCACCAGCATCCTCAAGTTTAGAAGTACCACATTTTTGCATATAGACCATACCTATGGCAAGGAACACAATGTTTAGTCAGACAGAGCTTCATGGAGTGTGAGGTAAAACTATCCATATGAAAGCTAAAAATTAGCATGTCCGTAATTTATGTAGGGATATCATTTCGAAAAAACGTTTTGAAATTTGATGACATTTACTTATATGGCAGCTCTTTAAGGACAACGTAAAACGTTATGGAATGATGAAATCTCAAAGTATGGATACATCTTGGAAATTATGGAGAGTTGGCACACCTGCTTTTTTGTAGTCACCTAATTTGATATAGCAAGTAGCAGCTTTCTCATGCATGCCTATGGACTCGTAAATCTCTGATGCTGTTTGCAATGAAGCCTTGCCCAACTCCAAATTTGTTGAGATGACACGGTTAGCAGTCGCTACAAGTCCAGCAGCTCTCGCCAACTTCTCTCTATGTGCATCACCGGCCTTTTCAAAGCACATAGTAGCCATCTCGAATTGCCCCTCATTGAATAACTATAAAAAAGAGAGAGAACTAGTGACGTGGAATAACAATGGTAAAACTGTAAGTAGGTACGCGCCATGACCCGCCTAACAAAGAATTTGTGTGCATAGAACAACTGGGACAAAAAAACATGAATTTCACAAGACTAAGAAGTAAGAACACACAGAAATTACTCAATAGGCAAGATAATGCATAGCATGGTAAATTAAAATTGGCTTTCCAGACTAAATAAGTAAGGTCACCAACCTTGGTTTCCCGTAGCCTCCAATCATCACTGCTGCTCCCCGTCTGCATTGCCTGAATGAGGGAAGAATCTAGTAATCTAACTTCTACTAGACACAACTTCTTCCAGTAGTCAAACATTGGTCGACAGTAATCCTCTGTATTTTCACATATCCAGAGTCTTTGCCTGGTGCGTGTGATTGCAACATATAGTTGCTTCAGCTCTGAACAGAGAAGATAATGCTTGCTTCTGTCGAATCCCGGATGAGAGATCTCCTCAGAGTGTGATATAATATCTTTATCTTTCATGTAGCCATAGAGAACTCTCCATTTGTTTCTTAAAGGTGACGAACCAAAAAAGTTGTACAACAGCACATCCTACACAATATCTATGAGGTAAGTACACATTTTGAAACAGTGTTCTACAACTAAAATATTTTGCAAAATGAACAGAGGTGAAACTAAATTTATAGGCCCATACCTGAAACTCAAGGCCCTTACATTCAACAATGGTCAAAACAAGAGCTTGTTTACCAACAAGATCAATAATTTGTTTTTTGGCAGCATCATCACGAACCAGTATGACTTGCTCAGCACCAAACCCATGCAGGTTACCATGTTTGGTTTTGCTTTCTCCAAAAATGGTCATAATTACATTTTCATCGTTATCAGACTCCAGCAGCACAGGAGCTTCTCCGTATACAAGTCCAGTCTCTGGATTAAGCTTGTCAACACTTGACGGGAAAAAGAAGTACAGAAGGCTCATGATACTTTGTGCCATACGGAGGATGCCACAATGTGTGCGGAAATTTTGAGACAGTTGGAACATATCAGAGAGATGGACCTTTTTACCGTGTTTAAGTCCTTGATTCGACGCTTCTGTCTCTGCCAGGAATGCAGTATAAAAAAGTGAACGGATATCTTCAAACCTGAAATCGATACCTCTTGCTATAGTCTGTGCAGTATCACCAGCAAAAAGGAAGCCTTCCTTGATGTTCATACAGACATATTTAAGAAGTGCTATTTGTGTCATGGTGAGATCCTGTACCTCATCTATGTAAACAAAATCCACCATATCGCCATTGTAGCCCTCAGATACAAGACTGCTGTGAAGACTATTGACGAAATCTGACAAATCAAACTCCTTGGCAGTACATTTCATACTCTCATATTCAAGGAATATATCATAAATTTTATCTCTCCTCTCATTGTTCAAAGATGAAAATCTTTTATCTGAAAGCATCACATAATCTTGTCTTCCCAGTTTGCCAGTACAAGGCCTGCTTGCTTGATATGCACCCTTAATATGAGAAATTATTTCGGTGAAGACAGTGGATGCGGCAAATTTCTTTGTCAGGTCTGCATTGAAACGAGGCCAGTAGAAAGCAGCAAATTTTTCATAGGTAACTTCCTTCAGTTCAATAAAAGTTTGCACTGCACGAGATCTTGAATGGCCTCTCTCAAAGCTAGACTTCATTTCACCATAAAACGCATCAAAAAATGATGTCCGGCATGTTCCATCAAGCATCATCAAAAACTTACGATATGTTATAGTAAGAGGATAGTGCTCATGAGGTAGGTCACAAAAATTGTCAGGAATTTCTGTAAACTCTTCCAGGTCATCCATGATGTCATGCATGTGAAGAATGCTAGGCTGGCCAGAGATATCACCGGTGCCAAATCTATAGGGGGTTGAAATAAATTGAAATTAATACAAGGATTATTGTTGGTACAAATCATGAAAGGAGCAAAGCAAAAATCCTTCAAAGAAATCATCGAACCAGCTTGTAATATAATTTTAGAAAGAGCATCAAGCAAGGCTTGGTTGGCTAGTCATGTGAGTGGCTGAGTGCTCGCCCAACCCAGCCACATTCAAGGCCAGGCATGCAAAGTGGTGATCATGATTTATCTTCCCCTTCTATAAAAAGCCACTGGGGTAGTCCCAATATGTGCAGTTTTTCTTTAATAATTCCAATAATCATACATTAAAGAGAAAATGCATGTCAGATGGATAAAAGATTAACCCTTCAGAAAGGTATGACAAAGGGTCTAGAGAATATGAGGTT